CGGTACCCAATACTTAAAAAAGGTTTCGGTACCCAATACTTCCTTATCGGTACCCGATACTGATTCTTTACATTATACCTTCGCCATTATATGCATTTCAAGTGTAGAAAAAACGTTCATTACTAATTTATATAATATCGGCAAAAACACTTGAACTTATCGCAACAGAGAAGGGGGAGGGGGTGGAGGAATTCCGTAACCACTACCACGCCCACTTATGACCACAAATGTGTATCTGGGTAACCGATTTATCAATTTCCACCAAACTCGGTGCATTTAATAAACTTGGTACGAAAAAGAAATTTGTTGAAAATTATTCAAATCGGACTACAATTACACCCGCTTCCCCTATAACGGTAAATTTCAGAAATACGAAAACTCCGATATTTCAATAACTGATGACGCTAATTTACTCTAAGTTAATATTTACAGCAATCTCCTAACAATAAATAAGACTACTATAGACTTTTAAGAATTGGGCGTAGCACCGCCCACCTTATAACTACAAAGGTGTACCTCGGTAACCACTTAATCTGTTTGTACCTAACTAGGTTCAATTATATCATTAAGTCTAACTCTGCATATTATCGAAAACGTTTGAAATCGGGTAAAGACCCCTACTTATCATGCAAAGGTAGTTCAGAGAAATTCAAACGACGATATTTGATACCTGCACCGGATATATAAAGTTCGGTTTCATCCGAACTTATACTTCTTTACTTGTTTTATTTTAATAATGTCAATTTAATTTGTATAAATGATCAATCAAAGTAATTAAAATAACATTTTTGACGTGGCACTTTGGGTACGTTTTTTGAGTATAACTTTTTCAGCGCAAAACGAGACTTTCAAAAATCATGGCATAATAAAAATCATAGTAAATGTAATATTGGAAAATACATTAGGCGTTAAGAAATTGGAAATAAACTGTAAGAATGAGAAATCTGTCACTCGTAATTATCAAAAATGTAATATTTCAAGTTATTTTCCATTTTGAACTTTCAGGAATTATTTTGATTTTGTTGTTGGCCTTTGAATTTTAAATTATGAATCTTTTTTAACAAGCTCGAGGCCCAGCAATTAAGACCCCTATTATCGTCTGCAAATCGCTGGAAAAAATACGCGACTCGCCAAAATTTGTATTACTGCTAGCGAGTCGCTGTGTGACGTTCGCGTCAAACGTCAAAATGAAGCGAATGTAAAAAATGCGTTTATTACTGTTAGCGACTCGCCTAAAAAACGTTCACCGAAATTGTCAAAATCTAGCGAATGAAATTTGGATGTGACTAGCGGATATAATTGTGATAAAATATTAAAAAACTCCCAGAAAAAGATGGAGAATACAAAAATTGGTAAGATTAACAAAAAACGTAAGCTAATTGCAAATTAAAAGAATGTTTGGTTTGTAGTGTGAAGAAAACAAATGCACAACAATTCAAAAAAACTAGTAAACCCGCATGGCGCCAAAACGCCAGCATTTAATTAAATTTTTTAAACAGGTGAAACCCTATTCAAAAATCTCTAAAAATATTCCTAATGATTAATCTAAACCCTTTCTGAGTGATGAGAGGTATTGCATGGAGTCGGTTTTCATGAAACTTAAAAAAATAGAACCTGTGCACATCTATGTAGAATCCGAGTTCTTTAATTTGACTTCTCATTTTGGAAATTCGAAATAACGTTGCAGATGTGATGACCTTCAAAAAAAAAAAAATAAAAAATAGATTGCTAATTAAAAGTATTATCAGCCTATAGTTTTTTTAAAACTCTTTCGTTTGACACTAATATTTCAATATTTCATATATGTATCTTTCGTATAAGTAAAACAAATTCGACTTTTTAAACAGGTGGTAACCTCTTTAAAGGTATTTTCAAACTAAAATCTTTCGCCTGGCATTGTTATCCATATTTCAATTAACTGATGAATTAAGTTGAATTTAGTGTTTTTAAGCACATGACAACTCTAGTAAATACAGTTTAGAAATCAACTATTTTCAAAGTCATTTCGATGGATACCCTTATCTTGACAATCCATTCAACTTATTAAATAATTTGAGCTTAATTTTTTCAACAAAAAAACCAAATGTTCAATTCAAAGATTTCTTAACACTCGTTCTTTTGATAACCATATTTTAAAATTTCATGTAACTTATGTATAATTAAACAAAATACCACTTTCAAAACAGGCGGCAACCCTCCTACAAATTATTTTCGAAATAAAATTTCCTTAAATATTTTTCGCCTGACATTGTTATCAATATTTCAAGTAACTGATGAATTAAGAGGAAATTCATTTTTTAAACACGTGGCAACCCTCCTAAATATAGTTCTTAAATAAAGGACTTTAAACACATTTCCATTGATTACCATCGGTTAGTAATTCATTTTTTTTTATTAAATAATTTTAGTTTTGCCCTTTAAGCTGGGCAACCCTCAAGCATATCAAAAATGTTCTAAATTGTCAATATTTCATATAACTTGGGTATAAAATAGTTCAATTAAACTTCTCAACCTATTCAAAATATTTCCAGACTACTACCTTCTTAACCCTCTTTTGTATGACACCCAAATAGCCTTATTCATTTACCAAATTCCTCTAATTAAAATTTAATTACTTTTCTTTAAACATGTGGCAACCCTCCTACACGTAGTTAAGTTATAAAGCCTTTCAAAACCATTTCGATTGGTACCCATATTTAATAATTGATTTAACTTTTTAATTAATTTGAGCTTAACTGGAAACTGGTGCAAACTTTTTTCGAAAAGTAAAACCTTCTGGAACATCCACACCCTAAGCCTTTTAATTTGGTACCTCACTTTTGAAAATCGAACGGACGGTGCGGATCTGAGGGCATTGATTATTAATTAACTTGAGTTTAATTAGTTAACAGGTGGCAATCCTTTCGAAAAAATAAAACCAGTTTGCACATATACAGGCCAAGCGCTTTAATTTGGCACCCCAGTTTTGAGAATCGAGCGAACGGTGCAGATCTTTTATGCTGCACAAAAAATGCCTTCGCGTATTATATACATATATAGATACCTTATTTAATTCCCCCATTGCCTTAATTCAAATTGAATTTGATTGTTTAAACAGGTGGCAACTCTCCTATACGCAGTTAAGAAATAAAGTATTTTCAAAACTACTGCGACTGGTACCCAAATGGTAAATATTGATTTAACTATGTAAATAATTTGAAATAATTTGAAATTTGAATTTAATTTTTAAACAGGTGGGAGCCCTCTTCAAACATCTTAAAAATATTCTAAACGTTCAAACTAAAGATCTCTTAAGATTACTTCGCTTGACGTCCATATTCTAATGCTTCATATAAATTACACTTTGCAAACAGGTGGCAACCCTCTTCAAAATGTTTACAAACTACTACGTACTTAAACTTTATCGCCTGGCCTCATACATATTTCTATTACCTAATTCCCTTAATTGAATTGAATTGAATTTTATTTTTTAACAGGCGGCAACCCTCATAAAGTTAAGTTAATAAACCAAGATTTTCAAAACTATTTCCATTTACGACCATTTTTTAATAATTGGTTTAGCTTTTTAAATAATTTGAACTTAATTTTTTAAAAGGTGGTAGCTCTTTTCGAAAAAGTTAATCCATATTGCACACCTACAGCTAGAGACCTTTGATTTGGCACCTCACTTTTGAAAATCGAACGACGGTATGGATCTGATGGCATTGATTATTAAATTATTTGAATGCAATTTTTTATCAGGTGGCAACTCTTTTCGAAAAAATAAAGCCAGTTTGCACATCTACAGGCCAAGCGCTTTAATTTGGCACCCCATTTTTGAAAATCGAACGAACGGCCTGATCTTTTATGCGGAACAAAAAATACCTCCGCGTATTATTTTGAACTTAATTTTTTAAAAGGTGGCAACTCTTTTCAAAAAAGTTAAACCTTACTGCACACCTAAAGTCAGAGCCCTTTGATTTGACACCTCACTTTTGAAAATCGAACGAACCGTGTGGATTTGATGGCATTGCTTATTTAATTACTAAAACCTTATTGCACATCTACAGACCAAGTGCTTTAATTTTACATCTCATTTTTGAAAATCCGTCGAACGGTACAGATCTTTTATGCTGCCCAAAAAATCCCTTCGCGTTATATATATTCTTTTTGAATTAATGGAGGAGCACCCAGAAGTAGCCAAAGGGCTTGGCAGCTTCGGTTTGAACAAAAAAACCAACACAGAGATGTGGGACAAGTTCGCTGGTGATTCGAACTGTCTCGGACCCCCAAAGCGAGATGGCAGAGATTGGAACAAGGTACCTATCTAATGGAACGCAGATTTCGATTTACAGTAATTTTTCCCCATTTAAGGTATGGCTGGACTACAAATTAAAACTGAAACAAAATATTGCTGCCAATAAGAGAGAGAGCGTCGCTACTGGCGGTGGACCGTTAACTCAACTGAGTCTTTCATCTTTTGAGAAGTCAGGTGATCCATTGCTTGGTCTTCAATATGCTGTTTGTCCAAGTGCAAGTGGTTTTGCGGCATCAGTAGATCTGTGGAAGCAAGTGCGCCTATACCGGAAATAGCAATTGAAGATACATTTAAAGCTGCTGTAAGCGACACAGAAGAAACCACCGGAAATGTGGAGGACATTAGCCGTTGCGTAAAAGCTACGCCTTCTAAAAAGAACACTTTCCGCATCTGCTGTTAACGAGAGGGAGGAGGAGCGCATTAAATTAAAAAAAATGCAGGTAGAAGGTCAGCAAGAATTGATCGAAAGAGCAAAAAGTATTGGGCAGGATTTACACGACATAGCGAGGTACAAAAGAAAAAGCTTAGAAATAAATAAAGAAAAGTTGAACATTTTAAAAGAAAAGGAAAAAATAAAGAATAAGGAGCGGCAAGAACGTGCAAATATGCATAAAGAAAAGCTTGAGTTAAAATTGAAAGAACTTGAACTTAAAAAACTAAAATATGAGCTAAAATAAGACCGTTTTACCTATTAATATTTTTATGTATATATTTTTTTCATATCCGAAGTTGAATTTAAATTAAATGGAAAGAGTGTTTTCTTTTAAATATAGAAGGAAATAAAAATTACAATTAAGGACTAATCAAATAATGAATGCATCATTTCGGACCTTCGCGGATCCCCTTCATTGGAATGAATGTCCGTATTTTCCGGTTCCACTTGAACAACTGGATCGATGTAATTTTCAACAGCATCTGGTGTTTCAATATTAAAATGCGAACAAATATTGTGAAGAGCACAGCAGGCGTTGACTATTTGTGTGGCTTTGTGTGGAGAATAATACAGTTTTCCTTCCCTGAGGAGGCATCGAAAACGACATTTCAACACACGAATTGTTCTCTCCACAATATTTCTCGCTTTGCCATGCTGGGTGTTAAAGGTTGACTCTCTGCTTCCAGTGATTGCACTACGAAATGGTGTCATTAAATAAGGGCTTAAGGGGTACCCAGAATCCCCTATAAGAAAGTCAAAATAAATAATTGGAAGTAATATGGTTAAACAACATACCTAAATACATAGAACTTCGTTCTCCATTGCTGTACATCCTTTGCGAGATTTCTTTCAGTTCACTGTTTCCCGAAACAAATGAATCGTGTGTATCACCATGTTGTGATCACAAGCCTGAACAATTTACATTATACAAATAGGAAAAAGAACTGGAAATTTTTTAATTGCATTCAAACTGTAAACCCCTTTCCTTTTAATACTGATGTTTTAATCGATTTGGTGCAACAATACCAATATGCGTTCCTTCCACGCACCCAATGATTCCAGGTATACGAGATTTCGGAAAGCCCCTTTGATAGGAGCCATCAGCGAAAAAGCGAAGGGCGCAAGCAAGCTTTAAAATTGGTGGTATTGCTGCGCTCCGGTGCATTGAGAGGGAGCCGTCCATTTTTTGCAACAGGAATATAAAAGCTTCCTTATTGATCCTGAAGTATGCAACGAATCTGGAGTACAAAATTACATGTTTATTTTTGATAAATGTTCAAACGGCATTCTACTTACAGCCTATTGGGCAGATCCATCGGGTTCGAATTATCTCGGATGCTGAGCGTCAGTCTTTGCAGTTGGTTTCTTCCACATCGTACTCGTCCTCAAAAAATAAGTCCACACTGCTCATCATTTCGAATTACTTTTACTTTTATTACATTCAATCAATTTGAACTTTGTCTTTGAATTTTCGTTGTTTTTTAACGTTTCACTTTCGTCGCTTTCTGTTTTTGGCGCTGGCAACATCATATTTTATGCGAACTAGTACATTCGCTAACCGTAATACGGGTCAAAAGGCGACTCGCAAATGATAATGGGGGCCTAAATAAAACGCAAAACTTCGTTCTATTGATATTTTCATTGTCGATATTTCGACCTCAATCTGAGGTCATCTTCAGGACTGTAAATATACAAACACGATAAGTTATTATTAACTTTAAATTATTAAAAACATACATTAAACACAACTTGCACTCTTCATTGTGCCTGGTCGACTAATTAGGCGTACAGAAATAAAAGTTACACAAGTGAAATTTTAGGCTAATGAATATAGACATAAGAAGTAAACAATTAAAAATACCGTAATTGTTAACAAAAAACATACAAACAACATTGAGCAGTAATACAATGGGCCGTATGAATAAGAACTAAGCAATTGCTTTTTCTTAAAATTTCATACCGTTTACTTCAATTTTGTTTGAATAAATCGAGTAAAATGTCTGATATTTAAGAAAAAGCAATTGCTTATTTTTTATTCATATGGCCCAATATGTATATGTAGAAACATATGTACATTTAAAAGCACAGCATTTTATTGTTATTCTATGAAGGTATGTTGGGGAAACGGAACGAATGTTTGTTATGGAAGGCGGAACGGAACACCTACGTTGAGGATTGGTGTTGCAGATTTAACACCAAATTGCGATACACATGTGCACAATTATCTGTGTCCGTTTTAAAGTTGCTCCTTCTTTCATTAGGGGTGTTCGTAATGTGCAACATTTCCAAAATATAGCGTTTATTATAGTTATTTTCTTCTTGTAGAATGGCAACATTATCTAAATCGGGATAGTGTTCCGTATCCATACAGTGTGCTGACAAGGCCGTCTTATTGCGGAAATCCTTGTCTTGAGTTTAGTTTTTGTTGTCCCAACATATACTTTGTCGCATAAGTGGGACCCGTCGCCATTACATTGTTTCACTGGCGCAAGGAGTTCAACCGTTGAAACCGCAACAAAACTATCACTCTCAACAACTTCAATCATCAACCACAACATGTACAATAACTGATTTTCTCACTGTCCTCATCACAGCAAACGCAATCGGGTTCACCGGACTAAGAACCTACGATATCTACTGCGGCTGCTGCATTACCTAGTGCCGATCCAAGCCAACAACAAGTGCCAACTTCTTTCCGACCACGCCGACTCGCCAACAGCTAGGAGAATTTCCACAATTACCATCACAGCTTGGTATTGCACCACCCCACATCATTATTATCACTATCAGCCGACGACGTCAAAGCATTTGAGTAGCGAAAGTGACGGCAGCAACTGGCATAGTAACCAAAGGAACTTGCAAAGCAGCCGCAGAAATAAACAACGTCCGGTTGCTGCTAATAGCAGCAATTTCAGTTCACAGTGGTGAGCTGTATCTTTTTGTCTAATATTTTTGAAAATTATTTTCGCCTTTTAATTAAATACATATTATACAGGGTGTCCCAGAAGTAACGTGCCAAACTTTAGGGCAAGGTA